AAAGAAAAAAGAGCCCCCACAGCTCCCACCACCTAGCAGGTACAGGCAAAGGCCTCTGAGCCACCTGCCCCGACCTCCCCTCCATGGTTCCCAGGCTTGGCTTATGGGGATGGATGTACGCGGAACACAGAGCATTACCCTTTGTCTTCCAGCTCACAAGCATGTTGCTCTATGGCAGGGTTTCCTTTTTGCCGCTTGTTTTCTTTATGCAGCACTGTTTCGGGATGGTCTAAGGTTGATGTGCTCGGTTCTTCGTTGCACCTTTGCACAGATGGGCGGGCAGCCACTGGGCATGGCTGCGTGTCTAGGAGCCTTTGGGGTGTGTCTGGGTTTAGCTCTCCCTAAGGGCACAGTCATGGACGCCAGTGGACATCTCCTGGGGGTGGGAGGTGGGCTTCCCAGCTTACCTTTGACAAGCTCTTAGCCTCACAAAAGTGCCATTGCGGTTTTTAACTACAGAAGTTACACCTGGGTAGTTTTGAAAACTTAAAAAATAAACAAAAATAAGTAAATAAAAAATAATTTGTATTTTCCACCACTGACGGATATAACTGCTTGAGTTTTGTCTTTTACCAGGAATTTTTCTATGCATATATTCATAAGCACCATTATATAGCTTATAGAGAAAAATTTTTAAATAACATGTGATTATACTTTGCAAACTGTTTTATTACCTGCCTTTTTTACCTAATAATATATTGGCCACTAGAGACAGTGGATGTTACATAGTTCACTTGGCCAATCCCCTATTCCTATATACACTATTTTTAAACATTTTGGTGTTTTTAACAGATAATTTTAAGTGTTTTATTATTTACTACATTCACAAGAATATATGTAATGGAAGTGTGAGGTGGGGTTTTTGTTGTGTGGTTTTTTTTTTTTTTAAGAGAGGGAGAGAGAGCAGAGGAGGGGAGGGGCAGAGGGAGAGGGCGACAGAGAATCCTAAGCAGGCTCCACACAGTGCATAACCCGACACAGGGCTCAACCCCACAACCCTGAGATCATGGCCTGAGCCAAAATCAGGAGTCCGACGTTGAACCAACTGCGCCACCCAGGCGCCCGCAGAAGTGTGAGTTTTGACCTCCCCCACTCACCCCTCACCCCCCTCCGCTCCCCGCAGAGCCGGTCACAGCTGCCATTAGCCGCCTGTCCCTGCGACTAGAGGCACCCCCTCTCCTCCATGTGGGGTTTGTGTTTCCATTACAATCGAGGTTCGAGCACTAGCAGCTGGTCTTCCTGTCCAAGGTGAAAGGTTCGTGTAAGAACTTCCCTGGACTAGGGGTGGGAGAGAGCTGCAGAGGCCTGGATGGGGCTGCCCTCCCTGCTCTGGGCGTCCTGGCCTCGCGGGCCTGCGATCAGTCTCCGCTAACCTTCCAGAATGTGCTCGTAGTTGGCAAGGGCAGGAGACAGGCCAAAGACAGGGCGCAGCTTACGTTCATCAGAGCCAGCCGTCAGCAACCATTTTCCGAAAGCAATAACGGATCAATAAGCCACGGCCTCGTGTGGCGGCTCTGTGCACGGATGACTCCTTCGAGGAGGAAGCCTATTGATTACACCAACCATATTGATACTTAGTGTTGATACTCACCCAGTGCTCTGGGGGAATTAATAAATGACTCCCTGCCCCATGGCGAGGCTGGGAATAGAAGACACCGGGACGGCACCAGACTAGGGCCCTGCACGGCCGTGGAGCCTGCCCCATGACGAGGGTCCTAACCTGCCACTCCAGGACCCCGGGATCACAACCTGAGCCGAAGGCAGAGGCTTCACCGACTGAGCCGCCCAGGCGCCCCCCAATCACTTCTTTAAAAAGAGCTACAGTGCATTGACTACTGTTTTCATGGTTGTTATTTCTACTTTTCAAGAGCTGACAACTGCAGGAAAATACTGGGAAGGACGACAAAATGCACGTGGCAGCAGCTGAGTCCGATTTAATTTCCCGTGTGACGGCAGGGCTCTCCCACCATGTAGGGGTTGGTCCAGCCTGCGTCTGTCCGCTGTAGCCCGCACTGCTACTGTGCATTCCGTGGCTCAGGGTGGGTGCAGGAAGGCCCCGAGGGCTGGGGCACGTGCCGAGGTTATCCTGCACTTTCCAGGTGGGCCTGATGTCGTCACAAAGGCCCTTATAAGAGGGAGGTGGGGGGTCAAAGAGGAGAGAAGTTGCTGTACTCTGGGCTTTGAAGATGGAAGAAAGGGCCAGGAGTCAAGGAAGGGAGGTGACCTCTACAGGCTGGAAAGGGCAAGAAACAGATGCTCCAGACGGCACCAGTCCGGCTGACCCCTTGAGGTGAGCCCTATCAGACTTACTGCAGATTTCTGACTCCCGAGCTATAAGAGAATAAATATGTGTTGCCTTAAGCCGCTCTGTTGGCAGTGATTTGTTACAGCAGTAAGAGCAAACTAGGAGGGGCCCTATGCTTCCGACCCCATCTCCGTCAGACCCCCACCATGACTGACACGGCCGTAGGAAAGAGATCGTTTCCCAGGATTATGCCCCAGTGGGTCCCCCTGGAAAATACCGTGGCCTCGGTTTTGCCTACCAACCAGGCTCCCACTCAGAATTCCTCTGTGGCATTTGTGGCAGTAGCATTTCAGCCTCTGCTTGAATACCTCCAGCGGTGGGGTGGTCACTGCTCGCAGACTGCTGCCGAATCATGGGAAGTTCCTGCAGTGTGGGAGCCCCGGCTGGCCTCTGCCCTCCGATGCCACCCGCCCGCCCACTCAAAGCCAGCACCCCCTGTGTCGCCCGGCGACCCGCTGCTGGTCAGAGGCTGGGTCTCCTCCGGACTCTACATGGTAGGATGGGTCTGTGTCACGTGGTGTAGGCACACTTCGTCTTGTCGGCTGTGGTCAGGGGCTGGCCACCATCCTACTGGCCTGTGGATGCTGTTTTGAATCCTCTGTTATCCAAGAAATTAACTACTACATCCCCATCTCTGTGCAAACCCTCCCCGACAGCGTGTACTTCACCTAACTGCCCCGAGTTGGACTTTGTAAAGCAAGGTCCTGATAAAAAAGGCAGAGGAGGGGCGCCTGGGTGGCTCAGTTGGTTAAGCGACTGCCTTCGGCTCAGGTCATGATCCTGGAGTCCAGGGATCGAGTCCCACATCGGGCTCCCTGCTCAGCAGGGAGTCTGCTTCTCCCTCTGACCCTCTTCCCTCTCGTGCTCTCTATCTCTCATTCTCTCCCTCTCAAATAAATAAATAAAATCTTTAAAAAAAAAAAGGCAGAGGGTGTTGGGCAAGGAGTGTCTGGGGGCTGACCACTCTGTGACACCCAGTCCTTGCTCAGTTCTGATATCCTATTACCACAGATCCCCATCCCCCGCCCCACGCACTGCTCATGTGCTATGTGCACGTCACACGCACTAATATGTGTGGTTTTTAAACACCGGGGAAACCTATTGCTTGAGCATTCTCTTCCCTCTAACACTACTGGGTGCCTCTCAGGGTCGCAGGACATTCATTCCTCGGCCTTTTGAGATGGAGGCTCCCTGAGTGGCCAGGCCCCCCTCTTCTAGAAAGGAACCTCAGCAGGAACCCAAAACTTCTTGCAAATCTCAGCAGCGCTGTCACGGCGGATGGCTGCATCTCTCCCCCCGCCAGTCAGTATTTCTAAAGCATTTGGGCTCCTCGCAGCACGCAACTATTTATGGAAGTGGATCCACCCGGCTTGCTGCAATAGGGAGTTCCCGAGCAGAAAGAAATGGTCTCTGAGAAGGCGGAACAAGGCTGTCCTGGGAAAATGCTGCCACCAAGACGGGGCTCCACATGTCTGAGCACCAGGAGACTTCTGTTTGAAACTTTGAAACCCGTGCTTGTTTTCCCAGCGGTTCTGTGTATGCTCCAGGGCCTTCACTTCGCGGGCCCTCCTCCTCATCTATGACACAGAGAAGATTTTATCGGGAAACACCTGCCAGTGTAGATGTCGCTTTAGGAGAAATCGCCTTCGATCAGCTCCAGTGGCTGTCGCTCTTACTACTCATTTTACATTTCTCCATGTCTTCGTGTGCTCTCCAAACTGCAGGTGGTAACGTGAGAAGCACACACGGTCCCGGCTGCAGGCCTGGGTCTGCGCCTGGCTGGGGGCTTCTCTCCGTGCTCTGTGGGCACAGGCCGCGGGCCGGACCCCATCACCCAGTTCTTCCCACTAGCCACAGGCTGGACGCTGCCTGCTGCGGAAATGCCCTGTTTTGGGGGAGCAGCCTCATCACAGGAGACTTAAACGAGCTCTGCAGCAGCACGTACCATGCCAGTCCCCAGCCCCCGAGGCCTGTCCCCACAGCTCCGGGCTGCCGTCTGTGGCGGAGAGCTTTGGGCTCAGAGCCCCCAGCCACCCTCAGGGACTTCAGTGGCTGCCAACAGGTCCTTCTTTGGACTATGGGCAGAGGGGCGAGGGGAGCAAGCAGGATCTGGCCGAGTGACAGTGTGGTCTGACGGGCTGTCAGAACCTCGAGGGCGACTGGGGTGGAGAAAGGGGGCTGCTGCTGGGGCGGCGGGGGCAGGGGGAGGATGTTCAGGTGTTTATGGGGAGTCTAGGGACAATCACTATGACCTGCTCAGAAACGCATCGTTGCTGCCTCCCTGGGAGCCTTCCTCCTCGATGCTCTTGGGGATGGAACTGTCAGGTAGAGCTTTTGGGCGGTGGGGTGTGGGAAGGGAGAAGAGCTGAGGGCTGGGAGTGCGACAAGCTGAAATCAGCTGAGTAGGTGGGAGGGGATGGCCAGAGGGGCACCCACTCTCTGCAAAGCCTTGTTTTCTGTAAAAGGCCTACAAAGTTCCAGGTTGGTTTCTGCCCCTCAGCCAATTCTATATAGCTGCTGGAGTTGGTCCACTTAGGTTGCTCCCCCACCCCCAACCCTGGGCCTCTCCAAGGAACCAGCTCTGGCAAATAAAATAATGAATCATAAATTTTATTTCAAAATGTAAACGTCACTAAACATGCATACACATTAAAACAATAAAATTTACAATTTAGTTATTTTTTTTCTTTTTGCATAGGACATCATTACAATATAGAATCTATGCCATACAAAATACATACAAAGTTTTATCCGAGCAAGCCAAGGCCAGATTGGGAACTGTACAACTGTAATACTTCACTGTAGTGATCCAGGAAAGATGAAACATGGCCTTCGGAAGCATGGTGTGGTGCTGGTTAAAAAGGAAAAAAAAAAGTTCCTACAGAAAAGGAAAACGCGTGATCCATGGAAATGGTCTTGGACCCTTGGATTCTGCCTTGGGATTTTGGCATACGATTCCAGAGAAGCTCCATCAATGGCTTTGGATGGGGAAGGGGTCATTTGTGCGGGTCTGGGGGTGGCTGACTCATGCACCCAACGCACCCACATGATGTATTCCCGGTTATGTGGGAACACAGCAAGCCCCACGCCCCACAATGCATAGCTCGTGCTGATGCCGCCGAGCCCTTGGGATCCTCAGCACTAGGCACACGGACTCTCCAGGGTGAAGCTCAGGAGCGAAGCCACCCACCCCGACACCTGCACCCTGACCTGGGAAAGGCCGCCACACTGCTCCCCAAGTGGCACCTGATCCCCGCTGGGAAGTGGCCCTCTCACCCCATGCACAGGGCAAGCTGGGGAGGGATCCGGCCGGTACACCCAGCCCTTGTGCTCTGAGTAGGGGGGGCCAACCTTCGGCCAGACCTGCGGTTGTCTTGCATTCAGCTCACATACTTGGGTTTCTAAATAAGCATGTACAACAACCTGTCAACACGTCCCTGGGAAAACGCCCCTGAGCCCTGGGAGAAAGCTGCTCATGTGGTCCCCTCCCCTCCCATCTTGTTCATCTTTAAATAAAAGTCGTAAGGTTTTAAAGCTGCATGAGAAGGGGAGAGGCTGGGCAGGGCCAGCTGGACGCACTGCAAGTCTGACATTGCTACAGGGGATCAGAAGAAACCAAGTACGGCCCCTCTGCCCTCATGGATCCGGGGCTCAAAGCTCCCACCAAAGCCAATCTTCACACCAGTGAGGGACAGGGCAGTGGGTGGGAGGAAGGGCCTCGCCCTAAATGATGTGCAGGCATTTATCAGTAGTAAGCTGGATTGCGCATCCAAATTCTGGTACAAAATTCTCTGGAATGTGTCTTGGACAAACCTTTGAAACTGAGCCTCAGAATCGGGAATATCAGTCATAGGGAGCTGGCTCTTCCCAGGGCAATCCTGCCTTCAGAAATTGTAGGTCCACATCCTCGATTTTACCTTTGGAAAACATGGTCACAAGAATCGCATATGGAACCTTTGGGTAGCAAAAGATACGGGGGACCAACAAAGCATCTCTTACTGTTTTCGATGTGACCACTACATCAGACCCTTTAAACCTTCCAGCACTGTTTTTGACTGACTGACTTTAAAAATGGGTTTAAAAAAAAAAAAATCAGTGATATCTGTCAGAAGTCAAAATAATCAGGTAGCCTTGTAAACAGCCCAAACCAGGAGTTAAATGACAATGGGATGCTATTGCTCAGATCACACTTTGTTAGGTGGCACTCCTGCTCACTGAAACCACGGATGAAGTCCCTGGCAAGTGCTATGACCCTGTGCCGTCCACCTTAGCACCTGCTTCTGGCAAGAAAGGAGGCTGGGTCTTCTGAAGACTCTGGGCCGGGCAGCAGAGAGCTCAACTGGAGACCCCAGTTCTGCCACACTTCCCTCGGGACCATAGAAAGCCACCGGCCCTCTCTTCATGTCCCAACAGGTGGGCTGGGGGCTACCTGTGGCTGGCCTGTCTGTCCCTATCTCCAAGTCACTCCCCATTGGTCTGAGCTGTGACCCAGGGCACAGTGAGATCTGGGGACCCCAGTCCCACTGATGTTTGCACCTGGAGGCTGCACCGTGGCGAATCCTGCACCTGCCCGGTTGCATGGCCTCAGAATAAAGGGTGGGTAGTGTCCTGCACCTCAAGTGCCATAGTGGGGGTGTGGTGGGATGCAGGTAGGGTACCTCCAGGACTACATTCCCATCAAGGGCATCGCTGCCTGTTCCTACATAGCACCCTACAGAAGAGGACCCCGGGGCCCTTCGTGGAAACGGCTGTGTTCACCTGTTCCTTTCCAGATGGCTGTAGGATTCCGTGGGCATATAGGGAGCTGACAACCGGTCCCCTCACATGGCTGACGCAAAGAGGGGCTTTCTTATTTGGGACGTGAGCTAAACACCAGCCCCCTGATGGTTGAGTCCAGGGTCACTTTTAGGATTTTTTGGAGGAAATTCTCCCTTTGTTCAGGCAACCTTCATTTTGAGATCTCTGCCCCCTTGGCCTGTGAGAACAAGTCTGCTACAAAATAAAGGTTTGAGTTTTCACTATTATGTCTAGGAGTCCTATGGGTTCTTCAATCACACTGAAGCCAGCAAGCATGGCCATAAACCAGAAAAATGAAAGACCCTGAAATAGACCCAGGCTGGGAAGACATTCTACATCTTAGAAGAAAATGCAAGCTGTTTCAGGAGGGTCCACCCCATGTAACTGCTTCCAGTGGGGGCCCCAGGGAGTAGCTTTCCACGGCCCACGGCCCACTGCCCCCTTCCACAAGCACTCATTTCATGGTGATGAGATGCCAGGGAGAGCCCATTTAAACCTCGCCTGAGGTTCATGGATTTTTCCCACCCTTCAAGTGAGATGAATTTTAGCCCCAGATGAGTCAGGATGGTCCGACCGGAGCCCCAGGCCAAGTGCCCAGGGAAGCCAGGCGGGGATTCCCTCCAGGTGCCCTAAGTCAGCAGAGCAGTGCCCCATCTCCCAGGCCAGGCCCATAGCGGAAGGACCGCACCCGGCCATTAGACCAGAACCGCTTTGGGAATGAAGACACACTCATTTGCCAAAAATAGTCAATGCCTGCATATTTCTGTTTTAAGGCAATGTTACCCTTCCATCTATCTGACGGAACAGCCCTGGGTCATTTAGAGGAAAAATTAAATTAAGTGCTCTCTTTGGAAACAGCAAACACCCGCTTTCCCTCCCCCACCCCCCACCCCACCTCTAAAACAAACCAGCTCTTCTTTTATTCCAAGATGACTGGGTTTAGAGTCCTTACTCCCCTTCCTATGTGCAGACAGATGTGGGGTTAGAAACCCTCCTTCTGAGATGCCAGTGGGCAGATCACAAGGAGACTCCTGGCTCCTCAAGGGGATAGCATTATGTGGCCTCCCAGGGACACACAGCTCCCTCTCCCTGCCTTCGGGGACCCGTGGACGGTGAGCACACCAAAGGACTTTGGAATAAAATTCCTGAACCTGGAATGTGAGTTCCTGAGACATGAAATGTATTCAGAGTGTGGCTTTCTATGCCTCACACAGAAACAACTTTGGGAGGGGCCTCCGAGGGCCTTCTGGGCCTCACTTTGGAACTGGGCACGAAGATCTCTCACCCCAAGCACTCAGGGCGCTCTTCTGTCCAGGTCTCTATAGGATCTTCCACCCTCTCTTCCAGACCAAACGCAAGCAGGGCTGTCATGCAGCCCAAATGGGACACGGCAGCTAGGGCCGTCAGCTCTGCATCTGATCCCCCAGCCCTGCTTGGCTTTCACCCACAGCAAGAACAATGCTACTGCCCAACTTGATACCTAACACGCTACTCAGAAGCCACCACCATGCCCCTGGCCGATCCCAGACAACACACAGTAGAGTCTGAAAGGGGCACCCAAGTGCTGCATCCAGCAGATTGCCACCCTTGTGGTCATTATGGGCAGAGGGTGCCGGCCCCTGTGAGCACCAGCCAGGCCTGGGTCTCTGGGGCTTCTCTGTGCTGCACCCCATGCCAGGATACGGTGGGGTGGACGCAGGATGGCCACCACCAAGGCACTCTGGGCCCAGGAAGCCCATCTACAGCCCTCTGAGGTCCCAAGGGTCATTCCTCCTCACCAAAATGAGCAGAGGTCTCTGCGAGATACCTCAAATCCACCCCAAACCCACACCCCCCCACCCCAACACACACACACACACACACACACACACACACACACACACTGTCCTAGGGGCTTGTATTTACACGCCCCAACTCTCAGGAAGAAGGAAAGGGAGGTGCCCAGGCAGCAGCACTGAGCAGGAGCCTCCAAATGTCTGCAGAGGAGCAGCATGCTGGAGCCCAGCCTGACTGCCCCGCCAGGGCTCAAGCCCCAGCCCAGCCCAGGCGGGGGACTCCGGAGAAACCGCTCAGCTCTCTGCTCTTCCTCTCCCAGCAGGAGAACGCTGGCAACACAGCACCCCGGAGCCCTACTGCACCACGGGCAGGCAGGTGTGGGCCGGGGCCTCCCAGGCAGGAGGGGGGGAGTGGGAGGGAAAGGGAGAAGTCCAGGGGGTGCAAAGCTCATGGAGACGCGGGAGGTTTGCTAATTCCGAGCTGGGAACATGGTGGGTCTGAGCAAAGTATTTCCCACAACTTTCTGTCTGGTGTTCCCCGGGGAGGAAACAGAATGCACATTCTCCGACAGCATTTCCCATAACATCTGCTTTACCACTCCCGAAAAGTTCCAAGTCACAATGTTCCGGTCTCTTGCTACAGAACTGTCTCTGTGAAGCACCGAGTGCTGCCACGTGCACGGCCACACACACTGGGCCTCTGGCAAGGTGGCCCAACAACCTTCCCCGCGGTTTCAAACAAAGGTGTCTTGAGAGCAGGGCCGGTCCAGGGGAACACGGGAACTGGAGGCACCAGAGACACTTTCGGCCATCTCTGAAGAAGACTGGGTTCCCAGGCTCTGTTTTCCAGTCAGAGAAGATGAGAGAGTGAGAGGTCCCCATGTGCCTTCTGCAGGACACAGACCATCAGGTGTCCCTACGCGGGGCACATACCTCAGGCAGGCCAAGGGCTGGGCAAACGTGGCCCGGGCCCTGTCACATCGGACTTCAGATGGTGCAGCGGGCTGATCAACCCAGGCTCGCATCTCTGCTTCCAGTGCTCTGAGAGGCCCAGAGAAAGGCTCCTGGAGGCAGGGGGAGGGAAATGGGCAGGGCCCCCGCACAAGGCGGGCGCCTCTGTGGTCTCCCCAGGTGGAGTGCTTCTTTTGCCCAGTACAGCTTAAGGCATCCCTCTGAATGATCTACGTCCTGAGCCCGGCCGGGCTGCTGGGGCAGAGGCTTGGCGGCCGGGAGGCCCCCGGCTTGGGAATCTGGCCTGGAAGCAAATGTCAGTGACCGCGTTCGCTCAGAACTGACCGATCAACTGACCCACAGGCTGGATGCTGAGCCCCACCTGCACTGCTTCGTCTCCTTTGTCCCCAGTGTGTTCCCGAACCTAACAGAAAACTCCAGAGTGCAAATCTATGTACAGAATAAGGCGGCAGGAAAGGGGTGTCCTCACTGACCTCGTGGAACATGTCCATCCCTGAGAAAGGGGGGGGGGGGGTTCAACACCACTGAATCTCACCTTTGTGGGTATGTCTATTGTGCAATTTGTGGATGGTGTTTTTTGAAAATTTTTTGTTTTTTTACAAATTTACTTTGACACCTGAGGTGAAGAAATTGTTTGTTGTGTTGTTGTTATTGACTTCATAAAGTTCTCTCTTCTTTCTTATTACAAAAGGAAAAGACAGGGCATCACGAGAAGGGCGAGCATCTGCTCATGGCTGTAGTGGGGGCGGAGGGTCCTCGGCCAGCCCCGGGGTGGGCCGGGCGGAGTGGGGCAGGGCGCCCGCAGAAGGGGGGGTGGGGGGGCGGGGCCCCGGGGCGGGGAGGGCGGGGCTGTGCTGCCGCGGGCTGGCAGGGGCCCAGCTCAGGGCGAGCTGGCCGGGCTGATGGTGGGGCTGCTGGCGTCCGAGCGGCTGTAGTCGCTGAGGGAGCCGGTCCGCGAGCCCCCGCTGCGCCGCTGCAGCATGCCCGGGTGGAAGTTGGCGTGGCGGCGCGCGTGCTTCGTCAGGTGGTCGCTGCGCATGAAGCGCTTCTCGCAGATGGGGCAGCTGAACTTCTTCTCGCCCGTGTGCGTGCGGTAGTGCCGGGCCAGCTCGTCCGAGCGCGCGAACTTCTTGTTGCAGTCCTGCCAGCTGCAGGCGAAGGGCCTCTCACCTGCGGGTGACAGGGCAGAGCGTCAGTCCCTGCTCCTGGCCCTGCCCTCCACGCAGCCCGCTCCTCCCCACCCCTAGCTGGTCCCCGCCCTCTGCGCCCTGTCTCCACCAGCCCTCTGTGACAAAGCCATCAGGGCAAAGGTGTACTCTGCCAGTGCCCTCCAGCCGGTACCCAAGGAAGGCAGCAGACACCTCCCAGGATGAAATGGCAGCATCTCAGGTAATGTGGCTGCAGGGCCCAAGGCCCCTGGTCGTGGCACCCAACAACCTGTGCAGGCCCCCTGGCCCTGGCTTGTGGGGAGCTCAGGCCCATCTTCAGGATCAAAGATGGGGAACAGGAATGAAGGGTCTAGGGCCAGGAAGGACCTGCAGGTCTGCGAAAGTCCAGCTGCCCCACACTGACCCCAGGGGAGCCACACTTCAGAGCCCCACACTGTTCAGGGCCAAGAGACAATTCCCAAACCCAAGTGCCCTACCACCATCCTGACCCCTCCTCAGTTTCCTCACCTATAACATGAGGAGCACAGACCTGGGAATTTCCTTCTCTTATTGCCCCCTCTCTTACATTAGTTCCAATGTGGCCAACAGGCAACAGCCAGCAGAGCAGGAGACTACAACAGGCTCTTGCAGACCCAAGCACGGAGACAGACAAGGGTGGCTACTCAGAACACTCCATGAGTGGGAGGTAACAAATGTCGGTTGCAATCAGGAACCCCTCCTCCCTCTTATCCCTTGCTCAGAGCAAGGAACAGGCCAGCATTTACCCAGGCAAACTCTGAGCCACACAAAAAAATGACATCAACTGCTCAGAGAGAACCAGCAGGAGCTCCTGGCACCCCAGAATGCAGCCCTTATGGCACCGGGGGTGGCCACACAGCCAACCCTTCCAACCCTTTACCTTGCCCTCCCTCCCCCACTCTGGCCCTAAAGCCAAGAGCCAGTCCTCAAAGCTGGCCTACCTGTGCCTGGAGGAGGAAATCCACACCACCCACCCCAAATGAGCCCATCAACCTTAAATATAAACAAACACCCAAGGATGGCCAGATGGCCAAGGAAAACCAGCAGCATGAAAGGGAGAAGTCCAAGAGCAACAAAACAAAGCTTACTCCAGAGGAAAAAGAGTGAAGCCAGGAGACAGAAGAGAATGCCAACCTAAAAATTCTAATTAGTATTCTGAGAGAAATTTCAGAAAAAATTCATGCATAAAGCAAACATGATAACATCAAAAGGAAGTTCAGAGAACAAAAAATAGTGTTTAGAAATTGAGAGTATTGTTGCCCAAACAAAAATTCCACAGAAAAGCTGGAAATAAACTCAAGGAAATATCCCAGAAAAAAATGGAACAACATTAAAAAGGTTTTAGAAATATGTGAATGTTGCTGCATTCTCTGTCTCCTAGTAATGCTGAAACTAAGAGCTATGTGTGGTTGTATATGTTCTTATTGATTTTCTGGGGATTTTCTTTGGAGGGGGAAAGGGTGTCTGTGGTGGGGAGGATTCAAAATCAAGTAGGAGAGCAAACCATCATTTCCCAAACCTATATTAACAGTTACAAATGATAGTTCAGAGTTACAGGGAATCAATCCTGGGGGTGCAATATTCAACTAATTTCTGTTTGTTAAAGAGCAGAAAAAAAGGGAGGAGAGCAAATTATCAAAGAAACAAGAAAACGGTATCTGTCAGAATCAAATAAGACTAGCTAGCCAGATGTGGGCAGTGTAGTGAGTAAAGGGTCCTGCTATGAGAAATTCTGCAATGTCAAAATACTGAGTAAAAAGAGACCACAAAACTTATTAGAAAGAGGTAAGGAACAAACACCAAGTTATCCGTAAGAGAATAAGGCTGGGACACACACTAGACTTCTCATAAATCACACTGGATTCTAGATGACAAAGAAATAGGTTCTTCCAAATTTACCTCTCAAACTCCAGCAAAAATAAGAAAAAAACCAAGAAGCCAGAGAAGTGAGTGAAAAATGAAGGGGTATTCAGGAGAGTGAGGCAGAGACCTGGGGACCACTGAGGCAGGATTCATAGGAGGATAATTCCAAGAAGAAAGTGAGTTCCATGCATCAGAGAGTATGATCAAGAGACTGAATAAACTTCAGGACATAGTGAAGGCACATACTATTCTTTGGTTAAAAGAAAAAAGAGAGGCAATTAGAAACTCCAGGAAAAACAGAAGACATGCAAGAAAATTGGGGTCTAAATATGAAGCAAACTAAAATGCTACAAGACTATGAGCAATCAGGGAAGAGCTCTGAGCCAAACACTAGTCTAGGGGTTTTTTGTATGTTATACTATTTATCTTTCACAACAACCCCATGAGGCAGCAGGAGGGAATGAAATCCCTGTACAGGCCCTGGTATATTGAAGTAATCTTTCCACAGTCATGGTCATGTGAACCCTAGCACCAGCTAATTGTCAGTGCTTAGAATCAATGTTATAGACAACTGACTCATGGCCCCAATAGAGAATGTGGATGTACAAGAAAGGTAGGAACACACACATGCACAAAGGAAATGTCTGAATGAGGTTAAAGTTATAAGGATAATCAACAAACAATTAAAATAATAATACATCCATCGATTCAGGAGGAGGTGAGGGGAGGGGTAGAAATGAGGTAAATCCTTAAATTTTATGGAAGGGAGATAACAGATCGTATCTAAATCTGATACATCAAAGAACAGCAAAAAAATAAATAATAATAATACAGTTTATGTCAGAAACCACCAACACAACTAAAATCAGAGCAGTGTTGGTCTCTGGGGAGTGAGGCTGCATTGGGAACAGGATTTTTGTTGTTGTCGTTGTAAGTTCTTCTATGTTATGTGTCTTTTTAGAATTGAATATGTTGTTAATTGGTTCTGGGGGGGAAATTCTTGTCAACAAAAAAGTTTGAGAAATGCTGCATGCTAAGTCTACTCTAGGAACTTCACAATGCACATTGGTCATTAAATATTTGGAAAGGTCCAGCATTAAATACAATGGTTTCATTTCTGTGTGACTGGGTGCTGAGTTCAAGAGCTCAATGTGCCAAGTGTGACGGATGAGGTTCAGACCCGTCTTCACAGTGTATTGACGGCCTCAGATAATCGCCTCTATGGTAGGGTAAAGAGTGCTCCCCCAAAAAGATGTCCAAGTCCTGATCCTTTGAACCAAGAAATCCTTGAATCCCTTTCCTTATTTGGAAAAAGGGTCTTTGTAGATATAATTAAGGTAAGGATCTTGAAATGAGATCACAAGTGTCCTTAGAAAAGAAGAGAAGGGGAAAGGACACAGAAGAGAAGGCCAAGCGATGACAGAAGAAGAGATTGGAGTGATGCATCGACAAGCCAAGGAACACCAAGCATTGTAGGGCAGCCCCCTAGGAGCTAGGAGAGAAGCATGAAATGGATTCCCACTTCCCCCCTGCCAGCAGAGCCTTCAGAAAGAACAGAGGTGGGCAGGAGAGTGAGCTGCCAACACCTTGATCTTAGACTTCTGCCCTCTCAAACAGTGAGAAAGTGCATTTGTGTTGTTTTAAGCCACCCAGTTTATGGTAATCTGTTATGGTAGTCACAGGAAATGAATATACTACCCCATCCTCATAGTGGAGTACACATGGTGATTCCATAATGTCACACACAACCAGATCGTGGCACTGTGCCTGGCACATGCCAAATGCTTACCCTTAAACTGTTAAGCTATTATTTTTGCTCTTATCTATTATTTTTGTCACCTGTGTCTTCTCAAATTTAAGCCTGTGGTGGGAGTAGGGGAGGACAAACCCAAATTCAGACTCACCCTTGCTTTCTAAGAAGCCCTGGGCCCTCACGGGGGCTTGTCCTTTTCAGGGTCCTTACGCTTTCAGCTCTGGGAGGCGTGTGAGGCAGGTCTAATTATAGATGGGCTACAGTGATGTCAGGGCCGCAGAGAACCGCAGCATCCAACACCATGGCATGCTGGTACCGGGTAGCCTGCAGTGGCAGAAGGTAGGGAAAGCCCAGCATCACACGTAGGCCACACACGGCTCTTGGTTTTGTCTGGGCATCAGCGGCTCAGCACTTTTACTGAACACAGACCCGATGTCTGGCCCTGGGAACAGGGTCCTGATGCAGACAGGGTCCTCCTTGTTCCATCCTTTATACTTCTGTCAGCCCTTTCCAGGACGACAGATGGCAACAAACTGGCCCACAAACAGATGAATAAAACACTTAGAAGTTATGATTCATCCTGGTTAGGAGCAGCACCAGGGTCTGGCTGGGCTGGTGACATTCAAGCAGCACCCAGGAGGCTAATGAAGAGCAGCCAGGAGAATCGAGAATAGGTGGGGGAAAGGCAGCCTGGACAGGGAGACAGTCACCCATGATGGTGTTTCTCATAATTGTAGAGAGGGACCCAAAAAAGTGTCTGTTTATGTGGGTTATATCCATTGATATTTATCATATTAGAAATTAAAACAAAAATTCAAACTCAAGCACACATTCCAGTAGCTGACAGGGGGATGATGTCATCACACATCATTTAGCTTTTGGAATATTCCATTGTATTTTTTTTTTCAGAGAATAAAGGACAAATAATGTTATTATTTTGAAAATAGTTTTGGCCTCATGGCCTCCTAGAAGGGTCTCGGGTTACCTACAGGTGTCCCTGGGCCTCCCTTTGAAAACTGCTCTGCTAGGAATTGACCCCAAGGTGGTGTGACTGGGCTGAGTGAGTATAGAGGGAGCATACCCAGCCTGGAGTGGGGGCTCAGCAGGTCCACACCCTACAGGGAGTCAGCCCTCCAGACTAAGTAAACCCTAGCTTCCCTCCTGCTGGGCTCAAATTCTGCATCTGCTTCCTCTTGGGCATGTGATGGGGAGACAGACAGTACCACAGGGCCATCACAAGGAGAGTGTGCAGTCTAGCTCAGAAGTGACACTGGCCCTCTTGGGACAGGAAACCTAATCGAGGATTCCAGAACCCTGAAGGAAGCCCTCCTGCAGCATCCTGCCTGAAGCCTAAGCCTGGCATGGGC